TACATTTATACTTTTTTAGAACTTTTTCTTTATCTACATTGAATTTCTTGGACTTTGTCAATAAGATGCAAGTCTTCGTTCAATAAAGCGTATTTTGATTTGATTTGAGTTGAAATCGATTTTCACTACAAAGTTGAAAAACCCAATAAAACAAATATTCATCCAAAATAACTGACATGAATTCCACCTCCAAAGACGCTGCTACCTTTGAACTGTCACTTACAGACCAAATGAAAACCCCTCCTCATCGCCCATCAATCCCTCCTTACCGTCATTCTGCAGGCGCTCACAGATAAAATAATTAGGGGTAGAGCAATCTCTGTCGTTCCACATGAACGTGGCTGTCAGGCGGGCGGAAGAAGAAGGAAGCGGATAAATCCTGCGAACTTCCACGCAGTCCTGCTCGCTCAAGCCGTCGTCGTTCGGTTGTTTGTTATAGTGGCCGTGGTGGGCCCATCCCGGAAACCAATCTGGAACAAGAGAGAAATTGAGAGACGGATCAGACGGGGTTCGTTCGAGATCGGTAATACGATTTGAGGAGAGGCGAAATACTGCAGGATGAGATAGTTTACGTGTGGAGCAGAGAGATTTTTTATAATTCACTACATGTCATCATTGAGGTCTTTCATGAAATTGGCTTTTGTCTTCGCTTCAAGATGAAACGGAAATAAAAGAAGCATCAGTTACCTTTCAAAATTGATATTTTCTTGGAAGAAAGCTATATTTATGACCAGACCTCAAATTCTATTTCGAGTTATTATTCATCTTGATTTTATCAACACACCCAGCGTGAATATTTCTGAATATAAGTTATTCACATAAAAAAAATGAAGAGTATGAGACATACATTCTTTGCAGATGAAGATACTTGAATATTAGGTTGTTTCAAAAGATTTGTCCGTTTTGATAGCATGTGAATTTGTAGCTCCATATCTCAATAAATATGTATTCTACTGTGTCGTGGTAAACAGTGTGTAAAAGCCAAATGGAATTCATTTTCTCGGATATATTTGAAAAAAATCTAGAAACACGTCAAATGTGAATTATAATTTGAATTATGAAGCACTGTTTGGAACCTTTGGTGTAATAATGAATATTACTGGAGTTTTTTCCCAACACCAAATCGTTATTTTCAACACCTCGACACGTGTTTCGATCACCATCATCTTCAAAGAGGAAGATTAAAACTAAGAACTAGTGCGAGCTAATTCTATTTATGCTATAAAGATAACCCATTAAGGTAAAGCATTCAGGCGTACCAAGCATACATGTATACCAACCTAAATTAATTTTACAATTTTGCCTTATGTATTATTTGCAATATATGTTTATATAAAACAATTATCAGCTATTTGAACATTAAATTCACAATATTGCCTATCCAAATTTATTTTTGCAATGTGTCCTTATGTAGTAACCATCAGTAAACCCAACAACATTATTTTATTTTATTTTAAGAAGCTAAACAGGGTGTAACTGAATAAATGTAAAACATTTAAGGAGGTTATTCCTCATCGAAAAAAGATAGGATCTATCATATAAATGAACTTCATTGAAGCATCCCTTGTTAAGATACAGCCCCTTAAAGGGAGTATATAAAATTTGTATAACAATTTTTTCACAAGCACTGAAGAAGTTACAAAATTGAAATTAACCTGACGTTTTGNTTAATCGTTTAATGCAGGTACTAACTACAAAATAACAATAAATCCAGTTCTCATTTATGACGATGTATCTCTGTAGTTGTTCGTAAAATAATTTTTTGCTGCGAACTGGTTTATTTTGGGCAAAAAACCCAGCAGACATTTTTTGTTTAGAATGAAACAGGCTATCGGAAATAAATTTTTGAATGGCAAACAAATAATAAGACAAAAAGTTACATTGGAAATAAATTTAAGGGGTTGCTCCAATGAATTTTCTTTATATGAAAGATTCTATCTTTTTTTCGATGAGGAATCACTCCCTCAAATGTTTCACAATAATGTAGTTACACCCTGTATAGTATGCTCTTTGGTATAGGTCCGTCATCATTATTCATAATATTATTGTGTTTACTTATTCTACACTCTCATAGGCATCTAGTTGCCTGTTGTTGTTAACTTGTCTAACTAATCTTAATGAACTGAAGTCTATGGAATTGTTTTGTTGCAAAATATGATGGGCGACTGCTGCTTTTTCAGGTTTTCCATATTTTAAGTGTGCTATGTGTTCCTTATATCTTACTTTAATAGATCTTTTTGTTGGTTAATAATATTTTGCATCGCAGTCCTTACATTACACAGATAAGGCAAAATTGTAAGATTAATTTAGGTTGGTATACCTGTATGGTTGGTACGCCTGGATGGTTAACCTGTATGGGTTACCTTTATAGCATAAATATAATTAGCTCGCACTAGTTCTTAGTTTCAATCTTTCTCTTTGAAGATGATCACTTGGTGATAGAAACACGTGTCGAGGTGTTGAAAATAACGATTTGGTGTTGAGAAAAAACTCCAGAGATATTCATTATAATTTGACATTATTCAACGGAAAAATGGCAAGTATAGGTTTGTGATATATCGTTTGAAAAGTCTCTTCATCCTCTATCCAAAAGTATTATTGCTTTCAATTGAGACAAAATAAATTTAAATCATGTGGTTACCGAAATTCGATGATATACACTCAAAAACTACAATGTAATGCAAATCGCAATAAAATGTACTACAATACGAAAAAGAACTATGGATGCTAACGAAGTAGATGTTCAAAATGTTCACCACGAACGTCTTGGCAACATTCTAATCTCAAATAAAACTGTCTTCTAAAATGATTTAACATATTAGGCGTGACCGACCAAATCGCAAGCGTTATTCGTTTTTTAGGTCATTCAAATCTGAAGGTTTAGTTGCTCTTCACATATCCCCATTGAAAGAAATCTAATGATAGAAGATCTGGTGATCGCGCTGGCAATTCAGTCGATCCTCGCCTCTCTATCTACCGATTGGTAAATGTTGTATCGAGGTATTTTGCCGGACATTAACTTAGTTACGTGGTGTTGCTCCATCCTGCTGAAACCATATCGTATTCATTGGAACTTGGGGGTTTCTTGGATCAGAATATATATTTGCTGAACTTGGAATAACATCATTTTGAAGTAGTGCTAAATAATTATCACCATTCAAGGGACCAAAAGGGACCAATGATATGGTTTCCTACAATCGCTGCCCAAACATTAACCTTTGAAAGTATTGAGTGTGTTCTTCTCTCATCCAGTGAGGATTTTCCGTTGACCAGTAATGGCAATTTTGCCGATTAGCATGACCGTTATCATCCAATTAGAAGACATAACGTCTTACAATTGGACGATATTGTTATCCAACATGTCCATCATTTGCTCACAAAAATAAGTTCTTCTATCAAATTCGTCTTTCATGAGCTCAAGAGTGGGTATCATTTTATAGGGATGCATTTTATTTTCTTTCAATATGTTTACTATCGTTGTATCGGTAATGATCAGTGTTTTTTCTGTTTAATGCAATATGGAAGTGAGAAAAAAACTTACAAAAAATAAAACAATAACTTTTGTACGAATTTATTTAATGAATGAATTTGAACATGAAATCATAAATATTACTGGAGTTTTTTTCAACACCTCGACACGTGTTTCGATCACCGAGAGATCATCTTCAAGATCATCTTCAATATTAAACTTACCTCTTGAAGATGATCACTTGGTGATCGAAACACTTGACGTGGTGTTGAAAATAACGATTTGGTGTTGGGAAAAAAGTCCAGTGACATTCATTACTACACCAAAAGTTCCAAACTGTGCATCATACATAAATTCATAAATTAACAAATACATATTACAAAAAGTTCACACACTTGATTGTTTTTCATGGGAAACAAAAAAGTAAATAGGGAAAAAGCAATTTTTTGATTGAAAACTTT